ATACCACTTGGGAAGATTTTTTCAATTTGAATATTTTAGAACCACATAAGAATCACTAGATGATTACTTTTGAAAGAAAAATTGAAAATGAATTTTATAATCTTTACGTCTCACCTTCAAATTGAATAGTCTGTTTTCAATCTTGAAACATCATATTTTTCAAGTCAATAGAGTGTACATCATCATTATTGTCAAAATCTTTTTCCAACGAATTATGTTCGGCTACAAGTAATGAAAAAAAATATAAATCTTTTTCCAACGAATTATGTTCGGCTACAAGTAATGGAAAAAAATATAAAAACTAATGGCCTCACTCATGTTCGGCTACAAGTAATGAAAAAAAATATAAAGACTAATGGGCTCACTCATGATATAATATGTAATAGCATGTCGGAATCCCTGTTCCGACCAAGTGAATCGAGTGTAGAATTTGAAAAATGTTTTATTGATGTTTGTATGTGAATTGATAGATTACATCGCAAAATTTGATTGAATTTTGCTGTGGTAGTATGCATACAACCCGAGGGAGTAAAAAATCTTTTTGCTTTTATGTTTCTTATAGATAAGTAATGAAAACGTGAGCCCCTATCTTGCTTATGGTGGGCCCTCATTCAAAAGAAAGAGTGATCGTGATCGTGACCGTGACAGAGTGTTCATGCAGTAAAAAGGACAGTTCATGCACTGAAAAGCTTGCTCGTTTCTTTTGAGAAAAACTCTCTCTCTCTCTCTCTCATAAAAGTTGCCATTATAATCTTCACAACCATCACCACTGAACCTCCATCAAATTTTAATAAAAAAACTCCCATTCGAGGTGGTTTCCAGACTGTTTTCTTGCCCTACTTTCTCTTTGCTATGAATCTACTGTCTTTTAATCATTTCAACAACACATGTTATTTTAAAATCTTGAGCCGTGTTGGTGAATTATTAGGGTCAAAACACTGGTTTTTCTCGCCATTAATGAAGCTCTCTCAGCGGTATCCAGTTTTCCAATCGCGTCCGAGATGAAAGAGGGAACCAAGAAGCAACTATGAAATTTAAGTAGAATTAATCAGTATCATTTAGGGTCAGAATTCCCTAAGGAAACCTTAGTTTTGGAAATTGAGAAAACCCAAGGTTTCTTCAATATCAAACTAAGCATGATTCGAACAGGCAACAAATAATTAGAAGCCTCAAATTATTATACAAAATCAATAAAGCACTCAAAAAATTCGGTTTACTTTTGAAGTTTGATTTTGTAACAATACATTTTTTAAAAGGAAAAAGTTTATGTAAGATTGCAATTTTAAGATGTAGAATTAAAGATGCACCTAAAAAATCCATTGGAAAATGTTGTTTTAATGTTGAAAAAACCTCTAATTGATCATCTCGACGTCGAGATATATTAAAATAACAGAAAAAAAGATTTTGAGTCACAAAAATAGTGCATCTTGGAACACATTATATAAACCGTCAATTTTCAAGATTTTCATATATTTGTAGATCTACTTGATTTGAACCATTTTGAGGTTTAAAATTTTATATTTAGATATGAAAATAGATTTTCAGATAATCTTAATAATTTTTTACACCAAATTTACATGATATGATAAAATTTTGGGGGTGCGCCTTAATTGGATTGTTCAAGGTTTGCAACCGTACAGAAACCACACCCTTCTTTAAAAGTTAGTTAAAAAAATTCCTAATCACCCCTATTTAAGTTTGGAAACCCGAATATACAATGTATTATAGGAAGTTGGCACAACTTTAGTGGCTCTGATCAAATTATGAAAACATCTTTAGCTATTTAGAGTTGGGAAAAGGAAACTGCTAAATAACAAAAGTACCCTTAGTTCCTTATAGTTTGGCCTTTTGCCAGCCCAATGTTCCCAATCATGATCAATTAGGGGTATTTCTATGTTTCTCCTCGATCAGGATTTAAGAATTTTCTTATACGCAGAGAGAAGAATCCTGAATTTTGGATCTCACTGAAATTGTGTATTGCAAGAAACAAAATTTGCTAGTACAAATCATAACACGAACATGAGAAATAAAGCATAAGAATGTATGCATTGAGCCCACACATCACAGTCTTAGTTATAGACGACTTAACTAGGCACTTACGAGATGAGGTCCCATGGTGCATGTTATTCGCGGATGACATAGTTTTGATTTATCAGCCCGAAGCATCAACACAAAATTAGAACTTTTGAGGAATACTCTAGAACTTAAATGACTTTAAAATTAGCCGGCCTAAGATAGAGTTTAAAGAATGCAAGTCTAGTAATAATAAGAATAGAGACAAGAAAGTAGTTAAGATTGATGACCAATAAATACCAAAAAGAATGTATTTTTGATATCTTAGGTCAATAATCCAGAAACATAGAGAGATTGAGAAGGATGTCGCATATAGAACTAGAGCTAAATGGGCAAAGTGAAGATGTACACCCAGAGTTTTATATGATCGCTGCATTTTAATGAAGCTGAAGGGCAAGTTCTGCGAAACCAATTGTACTTTATGGTGTGGAATGTTGGACGATCAAAAAACCACATACCCATAAAATGAATGCAGTTGAGATGGATGAGTGGCAAGACAAGAAAAGATATAGTTCGAAATAAATACAATAGGAAGAATTTAAGTGTGACACCAATAGTTTATAAGACAAGAGAAAATAGAATTAGGTGGGCTGGTCATTTGTGGTGCATATCAGTATGGGCAAAGGATAGGCCCAAAAGGATATGATTGGAAGTAGTAAGAAAAGATAGGAGGACTTATGACATCACTGAAGGTATGACCTTTAATAGAGTAGAATTACGAACCATGATTCATGTAGTTGACCCTAACAAGTTGGGAAAAGATTTAATATGATGATGATGAACGATAACACCACAAGAATACAAAGATTTACATGATTAACTCCAAAAGGATATATTCATGAGGAACAAGGTAAAGAAATTCCCTAAACAATGATGATTACAATATTTAGTAAAAATACCAATCTTCTAAAAAATAGCAATTGATCAAGATGACTGATCCCTTTCTTCTCTCTTCTCTCGAAGTATACTAAATAAGAACACGATTAGTATCTTACCTGTTTGAGGCTTTCTCTTTTGTCTTCCTCACTTCATGAGGATCTCTCTTGGCTTCCTTCTTTCTTCAAGAGAATATCTCTTGGCTTCGTCTTTTAAAAGGTTCGTTCTCTTAGCTTCCTTCATCGAGAAGATTACTCATTCTTGAACCATGCACACAAAACCAACTTACATCAAGGCAAGGCCTTATACAGGCTTTCTTGTACTCCTGGCTTGACCAACAAGCAACCCATATAGATATTAATTCCCTAAAATTTTAATTTGCATTTGCAAAAGATAGGAAACAATATCAATCAAGTTTATATAAGATATGAATAAACCTAATAATGTATATCATTATTTTATTCAAGTCTTTATTTAGAAAATAACCTTCTATTGCACCAATTGGCCACGGAAACCGGCCATGTGCCCGGAACTAGTCCGGTTCACTGGTCCAAGTCGGGCGGGTATTGGCTGGGCAAAAAATGTGTTAATTTAAAAAAAATACAAAAAAGTCCAAAAAATAAAAATGTATTTTTAAAACTAAGAAAATAACATATAAATGAGGTTAAAAATAGTAAAAAAAAAAAAAAAAGAATATTGAAAAATCAGTTTATGACTTGAGTTATTTTCAAAATAATCCATAAAAGATAAAAAATGTATAAATAAATATTTATGAATGAAATATTTTCTAACCTTTGCCAAAATGATAAAACACATAAAAAAAAATTATAAATATATTTTTATTTTTTGGATTTTTTTTATAATTTTTTAATTTTTTTTAATATTCTTGAGTTGGACATCCAATTCAATGATAATCAGGCTCACCAGGTTGGCAAGCCCGAGTTACCCGGGTGAGTCCTTCGATTAATTGAACTCTGTAAGTGATCATTCACATATGGTTGCTGGAACAACTTTGATTAACTCGGTCTAAATCATATTTTTACAATTAGATTGTTAAAATAATGCTCAAATTGCTATTCTTGACATATTCAACCCAATTTTTCTTAAACCCCTCATATTTTGAGCATTTGATATCCATGAAAAAGATTTTAATCCAAGATATATAATAACGTTTTGAGTTAGGATAAATAGGCAAGAAGTGAGGAATAACAACTTAAATGCCGGATTTCAAAAAATATATTTTTTATAGAGCTGAAAATAGTTAGAACTCGAGAGAGTTTTCTAAATTCTTGGCTCTCAAAAATAGACTCCCCCAATTGTTCTGACACGATGATGTACTGATTTCGAGCTGAAAACAGTCTAAGGATGGAGGGCATTCCCCTTTGGATTCCAAGTCGAACAACGTTTTTCTTGAACATTCAGATATTGAAGGGTGCACAAATACCCTCCAGTTTAGGTCTAAAGGCCATAAAGTAACTTTGTTTTTTATTTTTTTTACAATCATATTGAGGTAGAAATTTGATAACATTAAATCATCTTTAGTGCAATCAATAAAATTCATCAATTTATCCTAATTATTTGGAGTTGGCTAGCGTAATCAACAAAAAAATTAAATTTATTTTGAACAAAAAATTGATCAAGATACCCGCATAACTTTCAAGATATTTAGGCCCATTTTTTCTTCAAAATATTTTTTTATTATTTTTATTCAATGCGCTCTATAAAAACGTATTTACATCCCAAATTTAAGCCAAAAATAATATGTAAATAAAACGAAAAAATTGAACAACAAAATCAATTTCTAGTCATTGAAGTTGGCATATGATTTCCCACCAGTTTATACCCATGATCATACTCGAGATCTATACGTCAGTTGCTTTTATCTAAGATAAAAGTATTAAATAAAAATAAAAATTTAAATAAAAAAATAAATTTCTAGCCATTGAAATTGGAATGATTTCCCATCAGTTTATACCCATTACCTTGTTTGAGATCTAAACGACAGTTGTTGTTTATGTAATATAAAAATATTCACATAAATTATTCACAAACCGACCTTGGCTCAGTTGGTAGAGCGGAGGACTGCAGTGGTGCAGAGTAATCCTTAGGTCGCTGGTTTGAATCCGGCAGGTCTGATTCTTTGCTCTTTATTGGTTTTATTTTTCTTCTTCTTGTCTTTTATCATTTTCCCATTCGTGCCCTTTTAACTCTTCCAATTGCCCACCCGTGTCCTTTTTATCTCGTTTTAAGCATGAAACTTTCCTACGGTTTATGTGAATTTCAGGGCATGTACTATGCGTCCATACTGTGCACCTCCTCCTTCACTCAAAACATCTACTTAAGGGAACTTTTTAGTCTAAATCTTTGGAAAAAGTATAATAATTACTATAATATCTTTTTTTGAAAGAAAAACTTTGAATTTTAAGATTTGTGACGGTTAGATCTAGCCCTTCAAAGATTTGATAGTCTTTATTCAATCTTGAGGAATAAATTTTTTTTAGTTCATAAGCGGTTTTTTTTTTTATTTTTTTTATTTTGTCGAGATTATTCTAGGAGTAAAGGTCACATATCCAAAATTTGAGAATCAAAAAGTATCCATAGCATGTATTTTGCTTGAGGGAGAAAATGGACAATATCCTCCCATGGGTGAAGGAAATCTTACGGCTTTTACTTTACCATTTAAGGAACTTTAGGCTGATTTGGAGGATTATAAATCACTATACCATTTGTTTTTTTATACAAGGACGTCACAAGCACTTTTAGCTATTAAATGTAAAATTTTATTTTATTTTGGATTTTGTATCTAAACAATGGCACATCTTCAACTACCTGATTTCAATTCTAACCATTAATGAAGATTCTGACTTCCTTGTATAAAAAATAAATAGTCTCATTGTATAAATTTTCCTAATTTGAACATCTTCTTTCGGGGTAGGTTAGGTACCCACTCAAATGGCATCATCGTTTGCTTTCTTCGTCCTCTAATTGTAACTCTTTTTGTTCATTTCCATCTCCAAAGAGAAGCATTGTTCATTCTATTTTCTCTATACTTTATAGCTTTTTTATTGCAATAGACTTGAGCCATTTGCATAAAATTGAAAACCGATACACAGCCTGCATATATATTAAAAAAAAAAAAAAAAAGGGCTGCAAAATAGCAAATAAGAAGCGTATGACACACATAAAACCAACAAATACAAAGACAACTACATGATTAAAGACACACAATCCAATATATATAAAGAGAGACATAATGCAACATACATATAAGAGACCTAGAATACTATACGGCACCCACACACACAAAACCAATGCAATTTTCAATTGAATAATTCATATAAATTAGAAAAAAGACACTTAAAGCTGAGAACAATCACACGAATGGCAGAAGCGCACAGGCGTGTATCTTTCCATCTTTTATACATGGAAGGAACATATAAAAAGTTTCTCTATAGTACTTATGGGAAAAAAGTTTCTCTATAGTACTTATGGGAAAGTATAGAATGAGACCATTTATCTTTGGTACAAGGTTAGCCATTAATACTGATTATTGCGGCAATTCAAGCTCAAACTTCAAAAGAAATATTCTCAAACTTTGTGACACATCCAAGCCATCAAACTTCACATTGGATGGTTGTAAGTAATTGTGACCATCTTGTATCAAAGGTAATTGTCTCATTGTATACAATTCCAATATTTTATTACAAAGAGGTTGCAATTACTCGTAAAGTCTTGATTTAGTTAAAAAGTCTTGGATTTTCAAAATTTCTGGAATATTCAGATAAAACCAACTAATTTGATTAATCCAGTATTTTTTGGAAAAGGTCCTCACCATCCCGGGCCCATTTGGTCACACGATGTGTGGCCCGACATGCATCCGTGTGCGACATAAGCCGCCTTACATGGCCCGAGGTGCCATGTAGTGTGCGACCAAGCCGGCTGTATTTTGGTAAATTGTCTTCTTGGCACCTATGCTGCTCCAACTTTTGATCCATAGGCTCGTTTTAAACGATTCTTGGACCATTGGAAAGCTCTCGAGATCTACTATGATCTGGGATAGGTTTCAAACAGTTTTCGATAATTTAACTGGGTTGATATGTACTGGGGTCCATTAGGCCTTGTATAGTCCTTAGGGTTCAGAATCTAGGTTTAAGATTTCCCTTAGCCAGAATTTTAAAGGGGAGTATCTACACTTGTACTAAAAGTAAATGAAAATTGTTTAATGTGGGTTGCTACATATGCAGTCCAGAAAGTGTAAAGCATCCATCTTAAAGATAGATGCAAGTAGGTGTTCTATCTAAAAACAATGGAAACTAATAGGCCAAATGTTTCCTTATTAGAATTATTATTTTTAGTTGTTAAAATTTATTTATTTATTCATGTTCATGAACTCCGTGTTAGAGATTACATGTCCTTAAAAATTAAGCCTCAAAATCCATCTCAAAAATATATTTATTAAGAAGTGTAGGCTTGGCCACATAGAAGCCACGTCCTAAAGTAAATAGTTTCTTTATATACTTTTCCATAAAAAACATAAAAAAGAAAACATGTGATAATACAAAATATTTTGGCTTTTATCGCATTCCAGAAAGAAGGGACGATTTGGATTGACAGAACCGTCCATCGACACATTTTACCCCATATTTTTCAGGCATAGTCAAGTTTTATTTTTTTTATTTGAAACGCCTACATGACAGTGTCATGTTGGCTCCATTGGACTGCTATTAATTCTTTAATTAAAATTACAAACATGAAAAACTCTGGCGATCATTGCAACTTTCCCTCTATTATTGAAGGGAACTGTACAATTTTTTTTTAGTCCAAATCTTTTTCATGATCTTTGAAGTGACTAAAGATGATCTAAAAGCTTTTCTCCCCTTCTTTATGGGTGCTTGTTGATAGTGGACTGTTGAACTTGAACCATGTGATATGTCCTAATGAAAAGACTTTTCTAAAAAGTTCAGAAACTTTTACAGTGTAGACATGGGCCTAGAATTAGTTTCTCTCCTGCGCTCCTCAGTTGTTAGTGCAAGCAAGAGGCACAAGCAAGGTAAATAATCTCAAAATGGCAACATACATAAATAATCCTTAACATTTGGGGATCAGAATTAATTTTTCATTGAAGTTGAAATAAATTAACATAGTAGAGAATCTTCTTACATAAATCCGAGATGTTAGCTCTTTCATTTAGATAAAGATTTTACCAAAGGGAAACTCTAATTTTCTAAATAAATTTCCTATTATATATCTCCAAATAAATCACCAACGGAAATGCTTATTGAGGGAAGAAATGTAAATTCAATTGGATCAGAAAGTAAAATGATTAAAGTTCCACTGTGTAATATTTCCTTCAGTAATAAGTATAAAGCTCGATTTGTAATATATCCTTCAGTAATAAGTATAAAACTCGATTCGTAAAATAAGTATAAAACTCAATAAGTATAAAACTCGATTCGTAAAATAAGTATAAAACTCGATTCGTTGAATGTCATGAGTCCCTACTCTTTAATATGGCTGGATACTTTAATTATGTAGGATAGATATTTAATTCATCCAACTCCACCCCCTGGTAACCGTGTTCATGTTCCTACCCTTAAATAAATTCTAATTATGTGGATAAAAATAATCGAGTTCAAATGTCATCTCATCTTTCCCTTACAGTGAACTCCGAATTCAAGATATACGGCAATGCCCTCACACAGCAAATTCGGAATCCAACATATCAAGGGATTGGATTTCACGGATTCAGGTGTTTATGATTGCATCGCTAAGGACCATCTGATCTTTCCCTGAATTTCTGATATGAGTTTTTTTCAAGCCTTCAGCATATGTCTATCTTTTCCGATGTTTTACTAAGTTTCTATGGAATCCCACCATCTGGGTGTTCAGATTTACATGACCACTTATCAAACTACTCAAAAATAATAATTATCCTTGGTTACCAACTTATGAACTCGTAAGATTTTCATCTCTTGAAGATCTCCGAGAAATTTCTTGCAACTAAAATCCAAAAGCTATAGAAAAGAATCACAATGAAAACTGATATATTCATTACACCTTCAGATCAGCCCTTAAGCTGAAACCCAAAAACAACATTACCGTAGAAGCCATTGAACCCTTGAGCATCCCAAATTATACGAAAAAAATAAGGTCCCAACTTGAGCATCCCTTGAGTTCTTACAAAGAATACAAGAAGAAACTAGAATGTAATGAATCAAATTATTTTTAAAAATATATTAATCTGTAGGACGTCTTGTCGTCTTTGGCATCTTCCATCTCCAAGAATTTTAACAAATTGGTGTACGCCAAATGCTGGCAGAGGGGGCCAGTTGCTGTCTCTCTTGGGTTATGTCTCTCTCTCTCTCTCCCTCTCCCTCTCTTGTAGTGTTAATGGGTTGGAATCCCCCCATCTCATGGTGAGTATGAGAAAACATATCTTTCATTGAACCTGTTTTGACGAATACCACAGTTTCTTTTGACAGATCAAGATCTTCTCCTTCTCCATGCCATACTCTGTGTCTTTCTTTTGGCAACTCCATCTCATACCCTTGGTAATGCTCAAAATTGAGTTCATAAAGTAGTCCGCCTCATGAATTAACGCATAACCATTAGGTCTCAGGATCCTATCCATCTCCAGTAAGACATACTTCATCTCACACCTATTAGCAAATTAGCAGATCAATACTTGGCATTTTATATAAATCGTTAAAAAAGTAGGATAATTTTTATACTAATGCATGCAGAAAATTTGTGGATTAAACACAATGAATGCTTCCATGCATACATGCCTACCTACATGTATTCAGACAACTATGCATCAGCACAGCCACAAAAATGAACACATGCTAGCCGGATAACGTTTTAGGCTTAAGGTTGATACTTGTAGAGAGAGAGTCTGATAATCATAAGGTTCATATTGGAATATTCAGATGCATATGATGACATCAGTGAGTCGATCATGGTATCAGAAAACCATTAGTCACTGATTTATTCCCAGTAAAAAGGACAAGGTCACTATATCCTTATCAACGAAAAAGAGTCTCCAACTCTAGCATCATTTTGAAATTGTATCATATAAATACTCATGTCACCCCAAATATATAATTCTATTTCAATCTTGTTTCCCAATTGATATTCATACTTAACTATGTAAATGAATGAAATTTAGTCTTTCTACAAATTTACAACTAACAATCATGGCATAAATTCAGTAAGCTCATGAGCAGTACAAACTCAGATCTAAGTGAAGAATATTAGGCTCTGTTTTGATGGTTTTATAAAGTAGGTGCATATTCATACTTTTAACCAAAAATAGAGAAGTATGTGTTAGAAAAATCACCTGTGACTTTCAGAAGTGAAGAGCCCATCAAGATGCAAGAGGTCATACGTCCGAGGATATGTAGAAAATGCCTCACACCTGCACAAAAAGTAGCGGCTAGGTTATCAACAACCTCATCAAATATAATTCATTCTCTTTTGGGAAGAATAAACTCCAATTCTTAGACCCCAAGAAAAATCCAAATCAAACCCCATGAAATATTTGGCTCCTCCCTTGACCATTGAGCCGACAGATAAATCCTAACTTAATACAATAATTAAAATCTCACCAAAAGTCAAAAAAGAAGAGGGAAACTCAACAAAGATGGACCAAAATCAGTAGCATGTAATCTCACCAATCATGATAAGTTCCGATCAATCCCCTATCGTACACCACCCCAAGTGAGTTCACTGAATATGAAGACACCACATTCATAACCCATATTGGATCCGCTATAAGAGCAGCTGCAAAGCCACCATATAGAGTATTCATGTCCATAACATTTCTTATCTGATCGGTTCCAAGAGCCGGTAACAAAGTCTTGTAATGCTTCACTCTCACTTTCCACTTTGAATTATCACGCTTAAATGCTCCAGCGCTCCCACCTGATACAGTGCCGACACGCTCCGGAGGAGTATGAAGACGCTCTGGCCATTTTGGGGTTGATTTTAACGCCATCTTTTTGAGGTATTTGTTTGGAACAACAAGGCAAGGCCTGAGTGGAACATACCATGCAGCATCTGGTTCAGTTCCATCATCACATTTAGGCGGATACGCATCAGGTGTATTGTGCTTAGAATAGCACTCATTATCGGAGGCTTTCTGCCAAACTGAGATATCATTTTTGTTATTGTATAATTTGAAGCACATGCTTGTTAGAAGGTCTTGGAGATTATCGTAGTCAGCTTTTTGCTCTTCGATGGTCGTGTTCCAACCTCGCCATCGGTTTGGGTAGTTCACAGGTGGGCCTGAGAGGACCCAGAAGCCACCGGGCCGCAGTATTCGATGAATCTCGAGTAGATATACTCCACCTGAAACAAATGATAGTCCACAATTTGAGATCATGGTTTTATTCTATTTTTGTTGTGGGTGACCTTAATTTATTTTGCTCAATGTAAAGGATGACATTTGCATAATAACAAATAGCATCCACACTCTTGGATATGTATGGGACATAGCATGTACACTATTAGATATTTGATAGGGGTAGTGTAGCATCACCCAATGGGCTATGGTGCCTAAGCTACATTCCTTCATCCATTCCAATGAATGAGTGGTTGAAGATTGAGTGTGCGTGGACATTCCAGTTAATCTCCAACCATCTATGGGAAGGAACAGACAGTTGATCTAGCGTTGGAGTAAAATACATCATAATCCAATAGTAGGCTATTGTACACTTTTTCTATGTTGGGATAGATCTGGAAATGCGTTCAAAAGGAACACACAAACTCCAGAATTTCCTTTCTTATTAGCACTGGTCACGAAGAGGTAAAAACCAGAAACAAAGAAAACCTCTAACTAACGAGAACTTTTGTTCAAACTTTTATGCGATTCAAAAGGAGTTTGAATCTCACAATCCCAAAAAACAATAAAAGAATTTTGGTGATGAAAAGTTTATTCTAAACCATATATATTGTTTCAGGAGTAGCATTTGATGAAATCATCATCCTGCATTCCAACAAATATTATTAACAACAACAACATATAAGTTTACGAAAAATAAGAATGACATTAATGACACAATAGTAACAAGATTTGGAGGGACGAGGTCAGTACCGAATTCTGTCCATGGGATGAGACATCTTGAGCAATGAGCGATGTCAAACGAATTGGACGGAAAAGGAAGGCGCTGCGTAGATATAATGCCCAAAATTGCTGGGATGCCACGTTCCAATGCGAATTGAACTTGCGCTTCATGATTATCTCTTGGCGCTAGGGACACAGTCAAGATTCCTCTGTCTAGCAAATCCCCTCCCCAGCTAGCGACCTGTAGAAGATTTCTTACAATATTAATTCTATTGCCATAATGAATACAAGTAACAAATGGGTGATCAAGCCTGTGAGGTTTCCCTCTTAGATGACATACCAACATAGTTAATTTAAGTACTTTTTAAGTGTTGGAGAGAGAGAGAGAGAGAGAGAGAGAGAGAGCAGAGAGAGAGAGAGAGAGAGAGAGAGAGAGAG